GAAAACAGTTTGTGAAACAGGGAGGAGACCGATAGAGATTGCTGTGTGGGCTGAGCTCTGAGCAGGGCTCATGTCACCCTGTGTGACGGGAGGTGTACCTGCCCCTCCGAGGGAGCGTCAACGCTGTTGCTGTGTTTGCAAAGTGGGTGCCTTGAGGTGACAGAGGAGCAGGGGTGTCGTGTCCCAGCGGGTGTCGTGTCCCAGTGGGGCACATCCTCCACTCGATGAGTTACAGCGTGAGCCATCGTGTTGCAGCAGAGCCGTAACCAAGTGACGCTGCATTGGAGACATCCTCCTTTAGTTCAGCTAAAGCTAAAAAAATTCCAAGAGTTTTTGGTTGCTAAAAAGCCAGGCTCTAGTCACTGCACACATCTGTGCATTTTGGATTCGGTAATTCCTTGCCTGCCAGCCCAGGAGACAATTTACAACAGGCAGGTGAGAGACCAGTTGGGAAAGGAGAGGCTTGGAAGAGCCTGATGCTTCTGGTGCTACCATTTTTAGAAAGTTGTTTGGGGTCAGATCGACAGAAAAACTCTGCCTCCGACCGTTTGTCCCCTTAGCCTGATTTTCAGAGCAGTGTGCCCCGCAGGTGTGTATCTGCCAGCAGCTGGAGCTCCTCCCTCCCGTTGACTTCTCTGACCTGCTTAGGTACGGGAGGAAATCCCGCTAAGCGTCGGTGACCTTTAACAATCTGGCTTTCAGAGCTCAGTTTTCCTTTTGGTAGATTAGCGACAGCGATGAGTATTTGTGTAAAGCGTTCCGAGACCTACATATGAGGAACACTTACATAAGAGTCAGCAAAAATAATTAGTAGCATTTACAAGGGGTTAATTTTTTTTTCCCCTGCAAAGATTAACTCTAGGCTCGGCTGCGCCGTTGGGTTACTGTACAGCAGCTGAGCTGTAGGGACCATCTAGGCGTGTGCTTAACCGATGGCAAGCACTGGGTAATTCTACATAATTGGAGCTTTTCTCAGCTTTTCTTGAAACTGAGAGAAAACATGAGGCTGTGCGAGGTGTCGCTCCCTGTGGAACACGGCAAATCTCCCAGGTTGGGGTGTGTCAGCCGGGGCGATGTGCACACAGAGGTGGCTGGCACAGACCCAGCATCAGGAGGGCCTCGAGCAGCTCCTCTAAGAAAACAAACCTGTTGCTTGGTTTATCGAGAAGGGGAGAAAAACTCTTGCCTCTGTTTCAGGTACCCTGCTTGAAGTATCCCAGAACACAGCTGAGGGCAAGACAACTTCTGAAAAACCCAAACAGAAGAAGAACCGCTGCTTCACTTGCCGGAAGAAGATCGGGCTAACTGGTAAGCCCCTGGCTGTGCTGAAAACTTGCCCGTGGTACTGCCTGGGTTCAGAGGGTCGATGTGGGGCAGTGGTTGGAGGGATGCCTCCAAAAAATGTGTTCCTAACGCAGGACGTGCTGCAGGGGAGGTGGGAACTCCAACCTGCGAAAAGCACTGTCCCGGGCAGTGGCCTGGGGAATCTGCCGCTCGCCATCGGGGTCCCTGCCAGCCCCTGGGCGCAGGATTGTGGATCCGGACGGAGCCTCGCGGGTTATTTCTGCCGCTTGGTGAAAGCTGGGTGTAGAAGCAAAGGCAGCGCTCGCTGTGGATCTCATTCTGCTACTATTCAAGTGATAAAGCTTTCATAATAGTGACGTGGGCTGAGTTAGACCCAAACTGAAAATCCCTCTGCAAGGCTGATCCCGAGAGCATGATGGCTCTGGGTGTTCAGCCTCTAAAGCTGGAGAGAGAGAGGTGCTGAGATGGTGTCTGGTGTCAGTGGGGAAACTGCCCCTGGAAGGACAGTTCCAGAAGCAATTCACGTGGCTGTGGTTTCTTAATAAAAACATCATTCCCTGGAAAAAGTGAACTCCAGAGCCGTGCAGGTCTCGCTGTTGTGGTGGAACGCTTGCCTCTCCGGCCTCCTCGGTGTGTTCAGCACCCCGGGCTGCGCACGTGCTGCACCCATGCTCCTGTTCTCATCGCTGGGAGCTGCGGCTTTGGCAGAGTCCAGCCCGGGAGCTCTGCCCAGCGCCTGGCACTGGGGAACCCAGGCTTGCCGGGAGATCTGAGGGCGCTGTGCCGGAATAAACGTGGGCTTCTGAGCCTGGGACCGGGCAGGGGACTCTGTGCCGAGCCTTCGGGTCTGCAGGGAGGATTGTTTTCCTGGGTGAGTGTTTCCATAAGGGCTTCAAACTGCGAGAGGTTTCCTCTCCTTTAAAAATCAACTTGCCGAGAACTACCGTGAGTTCAGGGCATTGAGGATAAAATGATTTTTCTCAAATAGGAGTAAACTGGCACCTTGTAGCGAGGTGTTTGTGGTCTTTACAGCCTGTAGTTGGAGAGACACGAAAGGAAAGAGCATGATTCACGGCCAGCGCAATGGGGAGCTGATCCGCTGTC